GGTGCCGGCTGGTTTGCCCTGAAGGGTGGCCTGGATCAGGGTGGGGGTCCCCACTGGGGTGCCTGGCCAGTCTGGGTGAGGGGCTGAGGGCTGTGTTCAGGCTGGGGTGACTGAAGCTCACAACTGCTTTTTTCCTTTTTCTTTTTTTATTCTGGGCCAGCTTTAGCTTTGAGGCTTGGCTCCAGCTCTTAAGCATTCGCTGCTGAAAGTAGGTTTCTGGCCTTTGCTTACAATGTTGCAATCCTGCTGGCTGAAGTCTGGCGATATTTGTTACATAGTTGCTTAGAGTTGCAGCTCAGAGGCCTGCAGCAGTAGGCGGGGAATGTTGAAGTCCTCCCTCACTGAAGCAAGCAAGCCTCATGTTAGTTTCACGCTGCCTGGCTGCAGGCCGCCATCTTGGCTGGCAGTTAATTTGCATATCTCGCTGATTAGCCAATGGGAAGGGTAGTGGTCTTACGCCAATTACCATGTTTCTCTTTTATTAGATAGGATGATAAACCATGAGATTGCTAATGTTAGTTAACTATAGTAGTCTCAGCATCCACAAAAATAAAACATAGCCCAAGCTAGTTTGGCTATGTTTTGTTTTTGTGGCTAGAATGTCAGCCTGAAGGCTGAAGGGTCCTGGGTTTGATTCCAGTGAAGGGCACATGCCTAGGTTGCGGGCTCAATCCCCAACAGGGGGCATGCAGGAGGCAGTCGATCAATGATTCTCTCTCATCATTGTTTTTTTCTCTCTCTCCCTCTCCCTTCCTCTCTGAAATCAATAAAAAAAAAAACCTGTTTTAAAAAATAGATTAAATCTTCTCAAATTTCAGAGTTAGAAAAGCCTAATAGAGCATATAACTTCTGCTCCAAAATTCAAACTTAGCATTAGATACAATATTTACTCAAATTTTTAATTTCTGAATAATGAGCTTATTCAGTAATAGACCTAAACCACCACTAAATTAACCAATCCCTTAATTTACACTATCGTCTTTAATTCATTCTTTCTTTCCCATGCTCAAAACCATCACTTTTTTACAACTCTTCCCTTTGATACTGCAGACTTTCCTTTTTAGGACTATGTAATTTCTTTTTTAAGAGAAGAGTAAAGCCTGTTGAAATTCAAGGTCTGGGTGATTAGCTAGTTTTAAATCACTAAATAACTAGCTCCCACAGGTGTAGACAACAAATATTTATGCCCCAGCAAATAAAAAATTACTATGTCATGAACTTTAAGAATCATCCTCAAAGTAGCAACTGAGTATGAAAGGGTCTTCTGTACTTATGGGAGCTGACATCAGCGCACATAAACTACACATGAATCTGATTTATTGGAGTAAAAAAGATTGTTATATTCCTAAGCTTGTGCACTGACAACAACACACTTCTTTCATATAAAAGTGCAGCTTCCAAAATAACAGTTTAAAGAACAAAGTCTGACATAAGGCAGACTTCCTTTCCTTGTAGAAACCTGCCTGCCAAGTAAAATCCTGGTGAGGTTCACCCATGGTACCAGCCATCTCATCTGTCTGGGGTAAGTGAACAATGAGAAGCAAAACTCAATGGCTGCTCTTGTAGAAGTAGGCATGTGCACTAGACCACAAGGCTAAGATGGTGCAAAAACTTTCCCTCTCTTTGCCTTTCACTAACGAAGTCATTTGCAGGCATTCTAAGATCCTTTCTAAAGCAGATCTTCTATTAATAAATATTTCCAAGGATCTATTAAAATTTCTGCCCCCAACCTTTTTGATTTTTGTCATGCAAACTAAAAATATAACATGATGTTTTAACAAAGGAGAGTTTTACATGGTGTGTTACTGGAGGTACTATTTGTCTGCAGATATCTTCTGATACCAAACATATTACAATTAAAATTTTAAGAAGCTACTTACGGCTACACCAGCATGATAACTTGTTCCACAAGCAATAAGAATCAAGCGCCGGCACCTCTGGATCTCCTTAATGTGATCCTTCAAACCGCCCAAATTCACTGAAATAAAAGTTCATGTATATAATTATTTAGGAAAGAACCATATGAAATAAGCAATCATTTTTGATAAGTGCCCACTATCAATCTGGGAAGCAACAGAATTTTAAAGAATTTGTATTCCTCTGAGGAACTCTTATAGAAGTAGGCATGTGCACTATCCACTAAGCCAAAGTGGCTAGGGCTCCTCTCAGTCTTTGCCATCTCATTCACCTAATGTCAGAGTCATCCTCGTTGCTCCTATCCCTTCTCCACATCCACTCCACCAGCAAGTCCTAGGAACTCCACCTAGGAGTTCTCTGTAGTTCGTTTGTTTTCTTTTTTTTTTTCTCCTTAGGTCCCTATTTTTTGAAAAGTAATTAAAATAAGGCACAACTTAACTGGTTCCCCAGACTTGTAACTAGCCTTATTCAGCTCCCTACCACATGTCCACACTACTACAGTATGTATCAGACTTTAACTTGTTTGGTCAATTTTACATTCCTTTCTTTTTAAAAAAAAATATATATTTTATTGATTTTTTTAGAGAGGAAGGGAGAGGGATAGAGAGTTAGAAACATCGATAGAAACATCAATCAGCTGCCTCCTGCACACCCCTTCCCCCGCCCCCCCCGGCCCGGGGATGTGCCCGCAACCAAGGTACATGCCCGACTAGAATCAAACCTGGGACCTCTCAGTCCGTAGGCCGATACTCTATCCACTGAGCCAAACCAGTTAGGGCCATTCCTTTCTTTAGATTAAAAGTTATCTTAAAGGCAAAACTATATGGACACAGTAGATGCTGATGTCTGGAGGTGGGGAAGTTGCTGATTACAAAGAACACAATGAGTTTTTAGAGTAATGGAACTGTGCTATGTCTTCATTGTTGTAGAGGTCAGCATTATGAGCATGTTATGGAAGTTTGTTGACACTCACTGAATTATACAATAAGAATAAATTTTATTATATCTATACTAATAAAAGGGTAATATGCTAATTAGACCAGATAGCCCGGACATCTTCCGGACGTCTTTCCTGACAAAGCCGGGGCCCCGGGCGAAGCCGCCCAGAGTCCCAAGTGCCTGCGGCTGGCCCAGGCTTAGCTGGCCCGGGTCCTGGGTGCCTGCGGCCGGCCAAAGGAAGGGAAGCATGGGTCCTGGGTGCGGGGTCCAAGGCAGAGGCAGTTAGGAGCAATCGGGCAGGCAGGCGAGCAGTTAGAGGTGATCAGGCAGGTAGGCAGAGACAGTTAGGGGTGATCAGGCAGGTAGGTGAGCAGTTAGGGACGATCAGGCAGGCAGGCAGGCAAGCAGTTAGGAGCCAGTGGTCCCGGACTGCAAGAGGGATGTCCGACTGCCGGTTTAGGCCCAATCCCGGAAGATGGATGGTGGGTCATATGCAAGAGGAATCGGGCCTAAACTGGCAGTCAGACATTCCCCGAGGAGTCCTGGATTTCAAGAGGGTGCAGGCCGGGCTGAAGGACCCCCCCTAATCCCCTGCATGAATTTCATGCACTGGGCCTCTAGTATCTCTATAAGCCTGCATGGGGGAAAAATAACTTAGTTATACTCAGCTCTCTACCACATTCTCCTACGGTACCCAGAACAGTGCTCTGAACATAATATAAACCCACTCTCCTCTCGGTCTTTTGTTTTTTTTTTAAGATATTTTATTTTATCTTTAGTTAATCCTCACCTGAGGATATTTTTCCATTGATTTTTAGAGAGAATGGAAGGGAGGGGGAGAGACAGAGAGAGAAACATTGGTGTGAGAGACACATTAATTGCCTCCTGCACACATCCCCAACTGGGGCTGGGGATTGAACCTGCAACTGAGGTATGTGCCCTTGACCGGATTCAAACCCAGGATCCTTTCAGTCCAAGGGCCGATGCTCTATCGACTAAGCCAAACTGGCTAGGGCTCCTCTCAGTCTTTTCCAACTCATTCACCTAATGTCAGAATCATCCTCATTGCTCCTATCCCTTCTCCACATCCACTCCACCAGCAAGTCTTAGGTGCTCTACCTTCAAATCATATCTCTACTGCCATCACCCCAGTCCAACATTTCTCCCCTGGATGAGACCATTCTAACGATTCTCTCTTCAGTTTTCCACTTCCACTTGGCCTGTTCTCCACACAAACCAAAATAACCTTTTAAGTGATTCTTTAAAAATATGAATCTGATATTAAAAGCCTCTTGATGAGTGTGTCCTCCTTCTATGTATATATTCTTCTAAGAGTACCTTGTCTATTAACACTTCTACACAAGGCTGGTTTTCTACCTGTGAGAAATTTTCATTCAAGAATCATTCAAGTATTGAACTAATATTAACTGAGCACCCACCAAGTGAACATACTGTCCAAGGCTATACTGTGTGGCAACCAGAGCTCTCAGACAGTTCAGAGTCTGGCTGAGGAGACAGATGTGCACACCCAGGCAGCATCCTCCTGCATATGACCCACCATCCATCTGCCTACTTTGTCCCTGTTCTTCATCTCCTTAATTGGCTAAAATATGGAACCAAGGTGTATGCTTTTACTTATCTTTTTGAATAATTTTATGTTCTTCCTTTATAGTATTTTTAAAAATTAGTAAAGTGGGAAATAAAATAACAAAAAGGTTCCCTGGCTTCCCAAATATCTTAGAATAGAATCCAAACCCCTTAGTATGGCCTTCAAGTTTCTACATGCCCTGTCTCCTGCTTAACTCTGACCTAATCTCCTCATACTTCCCCTTTCACCCAGGCCACACCAGCCAAACTGACCCTCTGGCTATTCCTGCACTAGACCAAGTCTGTTTGTGTACTTCTGCCTACAATGTTCTTCCACTGACCTTGGCATGTAGCAAAAATGTTTGGGAAGAAAGGAAATAACACTAAGAGGTTGGGTAAAGGTTGCACAAAGGCAAATCAGTTTGGAGATGACTCAGTATAAAAGCAGACATACTGTCAAAGAGACTTGTATTTCAGATTATGATCAAGAATGACAGGGATGCCCTGCTGGTGAGGCTCAGTGGTTGAGTGTCAAGCTATGAACCAGGAGGTCACAATTCGATTTCCAGTCAGGGCACATGCCCAGGATCCCCAGTGTGGGGTGTGCAGGAGCCAGTCAATCAATGATCCTCTCGCATCACTGATGTTTCTATCTGTCTCTCCCTCTTCCTTCCTCTAGGAATCAATAAGAATATATTAAGCAAAAAGATGACTGGCAGCCATATATTCTATAAGGCTATTGAGGACAATGAACTTTCAGGCTGTCAATGCCAAACCCCAGACTTTGAAATAAAAAAATAATTGATATGTTATTACCAGTATAGTCATCAAAGTTGACTCTTCCTCTCATTGTGTTCACAACTGACTCTGGCTGCTCAAAAATTTCCTTCTGCATAAATGAACTGAAGTTGCCTAAAGGAATATAAATTATATCATTAAAACAAACAAACAAACAAAAATAAGCCAAAGAATAACAAATTCGTACAAAACTGAAAATCTATCGCCTTTGACAATCTTAGTAAATGAAATGAAACAAAAGGTCATGCCATTGAGGACAATGCTCATATATGACATTCTACCCTATGTGAAGAAAAATGAACAAGGAGAAAGAATCATGTAAAATATGCAGTTACAGATAAACAGGGGAGTGGGACAGCTTAAGTTTTGGATTCAAACCTAGGTTTGAATTAAGGATATTATTAGCTAAGAGACCTTGGGGAAATACCTTAATCTGTAAATTAAGAACAGCAACTACTTCATAGCATTGTAGTATGGACATATACAGACTTGACACATAGCTATTACATAGTGTTACTTTTTATTCCCACTACAACCCCACCAGAAAGGAGAATAAAAGCCATAATCACAATAATTATCTATAACAAACATGTAATATGCTAATTAGACTGGACGTCTTTCAGGACACCCAGGTGCCTGCCTGTGGCTGGTGGGAAGCCCAGGTCCCGAGTGCCAGAAGGAAGCTGGTGCCAGCAGCTGAGGGAAGGAAGGCCTACTCTTGCATGAATTTTGTGCATCAAGCCTCTAGTAATAGATAAGAGCAGCAAACGTTACGTAGGGTTCATTAAGTGTGTCAGGCACTATTCTAAGGGCTTTACATGTATTGGCTCTCTTAATCCTTAATGAGATAGAACCTATTATCCTCACTTTATATATAAGAAAACTCAAGCACAGGGAGAATAAGAAAGAAATAAAGAACAGAACACAAACTATGTTTATAAAGCATCTTAAAAATTTCAAGTACTATTTAAATCATCTCTTTTTAATGTTAGAAAAGAAAACCATGGATTAATTGGAGGAAAACTATTGTAAAACTAACATAATTTCTTCAAAGAATCATCTCTTTTCCTGTGGCTGTCCCTTCACTACTCATGAGGACAATTTCACTCAGCACTGTGTTACCAGATTTCTACACTAGGACAGGAAGTAGAATGTACCCTTTCCAATAAGGACACCAAGCTATAACATGACAAAACTTTCACCCTTCATAATCTGCTGGAGTTCCATCTGGAGGGTTTGCACAGCTCTTCCAGGGTGATCTCCTGCAGTTCGTTTAATTCGATGGATAGAAAGACGGCCATCTACCACCGCTGCTACGTCATCATCTTCAAGGAAGATGACGCGATTGGTGTGTTCTATGACAGCACTATAAAACATTCAAGGAGATATTACAATCAATAATCAAGGATGATTATTAAAACTATCATTAGGACACAAAAATCAAATTTAAATAAAAACTCAGATTTTTAATTATTTCCTACAACTTTTGTGACATACTGTTAGTACAGTTTCGGTAGTATTATTATACTTGAAATCCTTTTTTTCTTGAAGTATTAATGTTTATTGCATGTAACATTATATTTGAAAAATAAACTTAAAAAAAAGAAAAAAAAATACAAACTCTACCATCCTGCAATGTTTCTGATAGCTTTCTGGTTATTGATGCCATTCCTTACTGGGAAGTCAGGGTGAGGGGTGGTCACTGTGGACAGTGAATAAAAGGATCTCTATGCAGCAACCTAAACCAAATTAGATTACATCTGAAAGAAAACATGGTTGTTTCTTCCTCATTTTATCCATCACCAAATACTCCAATTTTAACTCCTAAGTATTTCTCAAAGCTTCTATGTCCACACCACAAACCAGTTCAAGCTATCATCAACTCTTTGCTGAACTACTATAGCAACCTCCTAACTTGTCCACCCACATTCCCTCTAATCTCTCTCCATCCACTGTCCATTTCTGCCAAAATGAATATCAAAAGGCAACTCTCATCAGGATTTCTCCCTCATCCAGCAAACCACATGACTGCTTCCCTTTGCCTCTTAGGAAATCAACAAAATGCATAACTGTGACCCCTACCTCCTCCTCTAGCCTCATTTCCCACCTCTATTCCAGCCCACACTCCCACCCATCCCAAGCTCTCACAGGCTGATCAATCTGCAGAGAATGAATGTCCTTTCCTCCATCTCTCACCTATTTAACTCCTACCTCCTTAACTCTCATTTCAAGCATCATTCCCTTAAAGAAGTTTACTCATGAGGGTAAGTCACCTGTTATAAGCATTCTATAACTCTCATCACAGCTGGAATTCTACACTTGTGTGACTATTTGTCTTCTCCATTATGAAAGAGCTCCTTGCCCTAGCCAGTTTGGCTTGGCAGATAAGAGCATCAACCTGCAGACTGAAGGGTCCTCAGTTCGAGTCTGGACAAGGGCACATGCCTGGGTTGCAGGCTCGATCCCCAGTAGGGGGCATGCAGGAGACAGCCAAACAATGATTCTCTCTCATCATTAATGTTTCTGTTTCTCTCTCCCTCACGCTTCCTTTCTGAAATCAATAAAAATATGTAAAAATAAAAAAGAGCTCCTTAATGACAAGTAATATTTTTTACTCACCATTATCTCCTAAGCACAGTACATGCTTTGCTAGTATGCAGTTAAGACCGTATGAATGAATGAGTATAAAAACGGCTGAGGTGTTTCTGCAACCTCATTTATTTAAGCTGTAAGTGTCAACTCTGTAACAAACCTACTTAATGATGGCAATGACACATCTTAGCACTGACTATACACCTGTAAAACATTAAAGCATAAAGCTTGTTTTCCCACTGAGATAATAAATTCTCAAGTCCCAAACTCCATCAGTTTTCACTTTTAGGTCCCTCTACTTTCAGGCACAATGAATGACTCAAATACATGTTAGCAATTTGAATGATTACATTTTATATCCATTACTAGAGGCCCGGTGCACAAATTCGTGCAGGGGGGTGGGGGGTCCAGCCAATCACAGCCGATCAGGCAGGGCCAGCCAGGGGGTGGGACGTGGGAGGTTGGCCGGCCAGCCCCAGCCATGATGGGGGGAGGGCCGGCTGGGGGAAGAGACCATAGGCGGTTGGTCAGCCGGCCCTGCCCCCTGGTCGAACTCCCAGTCGAGGGGACAATTTGCATATTAGCCTTTTATTATATAGGACTAGAGGCCCGGTGCACAAAAATTTGTGCACTTGGGGGGAAGGGAGGGTCCCTCAGCCTGGCCTGTGCCCTCTCCCAGTCTGGGACCAATCAGGAGATAACGCCCTGCTGGCTTAGGCCTGCTCCCGGGTAGCAGAGGGCAGGCCCAATCCCTAGGTGCAGCCCCTGGTCGGGCTCAGAACAGGACAGATTGGGGAGTTGGGGCACCACCCCTGTCATGCACAGAGCAGGGCAGATTGGGAGG